TCGCCTGGGAAATGGGCGCAGCTGCCTTTCTGCTGGGCCAGGAATGCAGGGATCAGGGCAGACCCCCCCCCGCAATGTCCCAAGAGGAGAGTTCACCCCTTCCCTTTAGAAGACATCTGATGGCAGCCCTATTTAGGGAAGTTTTTAATGTTTGATGAATTACTGTATTTTAATATTTTGTTGGAAGCAGCCCAGAGTGGCTGGGGAAACCAGATGGGCAGGATATAAATATTATTATATTTATTATATTTATTATCCCCCCCCCCGAGCCCACAGGTGCAAAGAGGGTGGCCAGAGCTGGTGGGAGTGAGTTGGGCTCCAAAGCGAGGAGGGGCTGCGATTCTGGGAAAGAAGGGCGGAAGGGAAGGAGGCCGGAGAGTCTCTGTAGGAATTCCCCCAGCCCTTCCCTGGTGCAATCCTGGCCACTTCCCCCCACGGAAAAAGCTGTGCAATTATTCAAAGCGGGGGTGTGTGTGTGCAGAGAGTAGATTCTTCAGACACACAAATAGGAAGCCACATTCAGGAAGCACATTTATTTTTATTAACTTATTCCTTGCCCTTTTTCTCCAAGGAGCTGGAGGTGGGTCTCTCCCCCCCCCATTTAATCCCCTCTACGACCCTGGGAAGTGGGTTGGGCCAGAGGCAGTAACTGGACCAAAGTCACACCCCATGAGCTTCCTGGCTAGGGGGGCGGGATTTGAACTTTGGTTTTCCAGATCCTACCCTGACACTTGGAAAAAGGGGGGGTCTGGCCAGAAGCCCATTTTTTGGGGGGGGGCTTGTTTCGTCCCAAGGGCTCTGAGCATCTTCATAGAATCAGAGACTTGTAGAGTTGGCAGGGATACCCAGGGGTCATCTAGTCCAACCCGCTGCCAAATTCAGATCTCCGCCAACCTTTTAGTGTTGGCATGGAAGCATGGCGGCCCTGGCATCGCGGGAAGTGGGGGGAGATGGCTATTGCTGGCTGCTGGCCCCCGTGGCTCTTATGCTCTGCTCCCCACAGTCAGAAGGAGCAAGGCCAGGGTGGATACACATCAATGATTTCTTTAAAAAATAAAAAAAAGGATTTTAAAAAATTTAAATCGGATTTTTAAAATAAAATGCTTTGGGAGGGAAAATCTTTCTAAAGGTAGTTTTCTATTTAAGTTACATTATAGTCCAAAGATTCATCAGGAAATAAGGATTTAAGTTTTTCATGGGTGCTAAAACTCAGTCTACGTTGTTGTTGTTTTTATAAAAAAAAAATTAGCTACATCGGTTAGCAAACATGGATACACATGCTATAATGTTGCTATAATTGTTTTAGTTAAATAAATTGTTATTAAGGAAATGATTATTTTTTCTCCTTCCAATCAAGTAGAGCAGAAAAGTTGTCCAAATATCAGCAGTTAACTTGTGAAACCTCACCAGAATTTCATAATTACCTGTCAAGGTATTTCTAATAGTATCACCAAATCAGGAATTTTTGATATAACTGTAAAATCTACTCTGAAAATTTATTATTCCAAAAGTGAAACCTGGTTATAAATATTAAGATTATACCAGCAAGAATGAGTCTTTCTGTAAAAAAAATGATTTAAATTGGGTCTTACTGACTAGAGATTTAAATCGTGATTTAAATGGATTTGATTTAAATCAAATCCACCCTGAGCGATGCTTCTGAAGACCTGTTGCTGGGAGCCACAGGAAGGGCGAGTGTTGCTCTCGTGGTCGGATCCTGCCCGCAGGTTTCCCATTGGGGCACCTGATTGGCCACTATGAGAACAGGAGGCTGGCCCAGATCCGGCAGCCGGGCTCTTCTGATGTGCTAGTGGAGCCTCCAGCTCCAGGGGCAGTCTATCTCTGTGGGGAATTAGCCACTGCGAGGGCTGCCTGCTGGGCCAGCTGGGCCAAGGGCCTGATCCTGCAGGCTGTTCTTTGGGGGGCAGGAGCTACGTCTAGCTGCCGGTTGGGGAAAGTCCTTGTCTGTTTCTCTGCTTCCGTTTGCCGCATTAAACCTTTTCTTTTTCTCTCTGACGCTTCTCTTTGGGCTTTTCTCCTCTTCTGTGCATGCCGCCCCCACCGCCTTGGGGTGACACCCCCCCTGCCCAGGTTCTCTGTCTCAGGAATTGCCAGCTGGCTTGATTCATGGGCTGTGGCAGAAGGGAGACCCCCTCCAGTAGGAGTTTCTTTGCGGGGGGGAGAGCAAAAGCATGCTGCTGCATGTTTGGGAAGGGGCAGGCAGTTGCCTTGGGCCTGACAGGACGTTCCTCTCCTCAGTTGCAATTCCTGCATTGTGGGGGTTGGGCTGGATGACCCCCCGGTGTCCTACCCAGCCCTGCAATTCCGTGTTTCTTCAGCTGTGCCGTTGAAAGGGGGATGCTGCCCTCTGCTGGGAAAGCAGGGCACTGCAAGACAAGCCCATTCACATCTTTATTAGCCTGAAGGAGGATAATGATAATAATAATAATTTATTATTTATACCCCACCCACCTGACTGGGTTTCCCCAGCCGCTCTGGGTGGCTCCCAACAGAATTAATGATAGTACTTTTTTACCTGGGAAGAGGAAGTGGCCTTTGTCTCTCTCTCCCACACCTTCTTTGTACCTGAATCTGAAGAGTATTTGGCCTTGGCAAGAGCAGAGGGCAGGGCTTGCTCTTCAGAAAATTCCCCGCAAAGACCTTCCCCTCCCACAGGGAATGGAGAGCCTTCAATGGCTCTTGATCATTCTTCTGGAGTTTTTGCCCCCGGTTCGTAGAATTGCGGCCTTGGAAGGCACCCAAAGTCCATCTTGCCCAACCCAAGTCGCAGCGAAATAATCCCTGGCAGGTTGGTGTCCGAGCCCTGCTTAAAAAGCTCCATCGAAGGAGAGCCCACCGCCTTCCCAGGGAGCCCCTTCTCCTCTCAGATGCCCCTGACTCTCGGAATGTTCCCTTCCTGATATTTAGTCTGAATCTCCCTCCTTGCCCTTGGAAGCCACAGGTTCGAGTTATCCCTTCTGGAGCAGCTCGCTCCATTTTCAGCCTTTCAGACATTTGAAGAAGACTCTCGTACCGTGATTATTTCATTATTCACTTTTGACGTGGGCTTGCTTGTTTTGGGCCCGCCCCAGATCAAAACAAAGCCCAAACTCCCAGCGAGACTAAAATGCGTGTTGAATTTCAAGGCAAGAGTCAAGAAACACCAAATGGGGGACTGGTTTCTTTTTTTGAAAATGGGTCGCTTCCTCTACACTGGCCTGTCCCTTCTCCGCCTGGCTCACCTGCGCCCAGTTGTGTGTGTGTGTGTGCATGTTGGGGAGTGTCTTGGGTGGGACCTGTCCTCCCCCCCCCCGCTTGTGACTGACTCTTTTTCCCTCCCGCCCCCCCAGGAGCAGATGGAGGAGGCCTGAGGTCCAGGAGGACATTCCCTGTCGCTCTGTTCACCCCGGGTTGTGGGGCAAGTCCTGAGAGTTCGGAGCCAGAGCAGCTTCCTCCATGGAGGGGGTGGGATCTGCAGCCCCCCCCTGCAATCTGCCTGCTTGGACCACTCCTTTGCACAGCCTCCAATACGAGTGGGGGGACGTCAGCCCCCGCCCCGCCCTGCCCCAATGCCTTTTGCTGCTGTTCACGCAAGTCCCCTGGCAGGTGGGGAAAGTGCCCCCCCAGCTGCATGTGAGGCTTTTGCTGACCCCTGCCAGATGAGGCACATTTTTCAGGGGGGGGGGACTTTGCTTTGCACCCCTTGCAGTCCCTGTCGTCATCGTCCCCCTTCTGTGCATTGCTCTTTTATGCCGTTTCCAGGATTGGGGGGCTCTGAGGGTGGGGAGAGCAAGGCCCCCAGTCTGGGGGGGGGGAGCGGCGGCAGCAGCAGCAGCTCCTTGTGTTGGGAGGGGCTGCCCCCTCTGCTGGGGTGAGGGCTGTCTGTGGGGCTGCCCCATATCATGTGCAAACGAAAGGGTTTCCTGTCAAATAAAGCCTTTCCCCCGACTTTCTGCCTTGTCCTCCCTTGCTAGAGTGAATCTGGGGGGGGGGTGTTTTCTTAGGAGGAGGGGTCTTCCTCTCCAGGGGGTGGGGGGTGGGGTGTCGCCGGATGCCTTGGGCTGGATTCAGCGTGGCCTCGTTTTAAATAGTTGGGACTGTATCTCTTGGGCAGGAAAATTTAGGGTGAGAATCTCCCCAAGTACGGCTATGGGCTTGCTGGCCCCTCTCCAAGGTCCAGCCCCCTATTTTCCCCTTGAGAGGGGCTGGAGGAAGCCCACCCAGCTGCTGGGTCTGGACGCAACTTGCCCTTGCCCCCCCCCTAACTGCTTTGCAGTGGTAGAGTGGATCTGAGCATGGAGGTTCTTGCTGCAGGTGGGCGACCCCCCCCCAAGCCCCCTCTCTCCTGACCCACTAAGGGAGATAATAGCACAGTAGAAGGCTAATAGCAACAATTAATTCACAGAACCGTAGAGTCTGAAGGGACCCCAAGGGCCATCTAGTCCCACCCTCTCTTGCAGGAATCTCTGCTAAAGCATCCCTGACAGCCTCTGCTTCGAGACCTCCAAGGAAGGAGAGGCCACCACTGTCCCATCGCAAAGTTCTTCCTGATGTTGAGCCAGAATCTCCTTCCTTGTGACTTGAAGCCATGGGTTCGAGTCCTGCCCTCCGGAGCAGGAGAAAGCGAGCTTGCTCCCTCTTCCAGCCCTTGGGATCTTTGAGGCAGGCTATCATTTCTCCTCTTTTCCAAGCTAAACATCCCCAACTGCCTCAGCGTTTCCTCATAAGGCTCGGCTTGCAGACCCTTCGCCATCAATTGAAACTTTGATGGAAATCGCGTAACGGAAGAGAGAAGCTTGTGAGAGCAGCTTTTCGAAGACGCTCTTTTCGGAGAATCGCTGCCTCTTCCTGCGCCCCGTGGGGCCTGCGCTCCTCTTAGCGCCCCCACCCCCAGGTAATTCCACCCCCCCCAGGGAACCGCTATCTGCCCCCCCGCCCCGCCCTGCCCTGGAAGTCCCTATAAAGATCCGGAGCGAGGACCGGCGCCGGGACAGCAGATGGAGGCGCAGCGCCCGGGCGTCGTCTGAAGGCTCGTCGCGGAGAGAAAAGGGAGGCAGCGAGCGAAATTTAGCAAATGTCCTAAACCCCGACTTCCTCTTTCGGGCGGTATAAACGGGGAGGGAGCCGGTCAGCAGCCGCCCCAGAAGCAGAGGAGAGGGAGCGGCTGCCTGGTTCTTGCTCCGCAGGGTGAGTGTGTGGGAGATCGCCCCCCAACCAACCCGGTCACCCCAAAGGGAAGCGGGCAGAGCTGCCTCGGATCTGAGCGGTGCTGGCGAAGGGCTCCTGCGCGCAAGCAGAGGGCAGAGGTGGCAGTCTGCCGTGGGGGGGGGGGGCTGGGAGAGGCGTGTTTAGCGGAGGGGCTCCCGCTGCTGCACCCCATCTATCTTTGCACCTGGTGCTATCCCCCCCCCAAAAAGGACCTATTGGGAGTGATTTGGCTCCGGATAGTTCGCGACGCGCTCCCTTGTCAAGCCAGGAGCTGCTGCCCCCCGACCCTAGTGAACCCCCCAAAACAGGTTGTATCGCAATGCGGGGGGGAGCCGCTGCCCCTCCCTCCCCAACGGGGTTTGGGTGCTTCTCACCCCCTTTATGTCTGATGCCTTTGGGCGTTTCTTGGGAGGAATGGGGTCCTGCAGGGGGTGACGATGATGATGAAGATGAAAGGAGCTGCCGGCGTGCCACAATTGCAGGGTCCCGGGTTGCCGTCCCGCCCCCCCCCCAAATCTAGTAGGCTGCCAAAGCCCCCGAGAAGACCCTGCTCTCTTCTTCTCCTCTGCCCGCCTGCCTCCGGGTCACACGATTCTGCTTCTGCTGCAAAAACAGATTGGGCAATGCACCCCCGGCAAAGGCGACTTCGCCCCGCGCCCCGCTTCTCTGCCCCCTCCCCACCTGCTCTCCGGTAATGGGAGCGTCTCGCAGGCTCTAGGGCGCAGGGGAACAGGGGGAGCCCAGGAGGGCCCGGCTGGGTTGGGGGCTGGCAGGGGAGGGAGGGGGCAAAAGGGGAAGAAGCCGGGAAGAGAGAGAGAAAGGGCGGAGGAAGGAAGCTCGGAGGAAGAGTGGAAGTTGTGACACTGAGGCTCAATGCCTCCTAGCGCAGCTTATTGGCACCTGCCAAAGGTTCCCATCTGGCTTCTGCGGAAGGAGGCATAGAATGCAGCCACGCCAAATCAAGCCTGATACCCTCTAGCCAAAGGTGCAATACGACTAACATTGGAATATTTTTACATCAAAAAAATCTACACCCTGGGTCTCTAATTCTCAGCCTGGCCGGCCTCGCGGGGTTGTCGTGGGGATTAACGCGCTGCCCCCTGGAGCTCCTTGAGGAGAAAATGCGAGAGGGATTCGAGGGCAGCCTGCGCTTGGCATCATTGGCACACGCGGGACCCCCGCCCTCTCCGCCCCCCCCCCCCTTCTGGGCGACCTCTCCTGGTCTCCTGGTCTTCCAAACAAGCCGCGCCTCGTTCCAGGAACTTGGGCTGCCCATTTTTCTCTGTGCAGCCGCGAGGCTTCTCCAGCCGGGGACGGTGTCTGTGAAATCCCAGGAGCCCTTAATGTCAGCCCCCCTCCCTCCTCCTCCCCCCTGCTAGTGCTTCCTTCCCGCAGCACTTGACGTTTCTGAGGAGGCGCCTCCAGACAGGAGCAAAATCGCTCTTCCTTCTTTCCTGCGCGCGAGGATTTTCCTGAGCCGCCTCCGGTCAGCTGGTGGCTCTGGGACATTTTGGGCGAAGCGGGGCTGGAGGGCGAGGATGGGGGGCTCGGACTGGGAGGAAGGAGGCAGCTCCGGGCGTTGCCTTGGCAGGGAAGAGAACAAGGTTTAATTTGCGAGCGGCATGTCTGGTTTGCGGGCAAAAAGGCAACGCGGGTGGGGTCTCTCTTGCTGTTCACACCCGGACAGACAGACTGGAAGCAATTCTGGAGTTATAGGAGCCCAGCGGTCCCGGAAGAAACCAGCCTTAGATGCGGTGCCCCCTGAAGCAGCTTCAATCGACTTCATATCAGAATTTGCCAGAGAATAAGACCGCGGAGTCCAAACGGGTTCGGGCTCCTCCAGGGTGTCGTTTTTGTCCATCCGTTCCCCGCTCCCAAAAGGTCCTGTGGTCCGACCCTCTGCCCAGAGCTTGACTCGCAGAACCCCCAAAAGATGGTCATCTGACCTCTGCTGCCTTATAGTCTCTTCAGCTTATGTTGTATTTTATCATTGCGTCCCGAAGCTTCACGAGTAAAATTTGCAAGATTCCCCCCCCCCTTCTGTTTGGGGGTAGAACGGCTCTCTTGGCTTTTATTGCAATAAATAAATAAATGTAAGTTTCTTACCCAGCGCCTAAAATAGCCCAGCGCTGTACAGAACAGGACCTTAACAATGACGCCACGATCTTCATCATAAAGAACAAATGTGTTGTGTAATTAACTCTGCAAGGACAACTAATACAAACTGATTTTTGTTTAAACTCCTTGGCGGCTGCACCGGGAGCTGTTCCCAAACGTTGGAACTCCCTTCCTAGGAAAGCAACGCTGGTCTATTAATCTGTGTTTGATTTTACTTGTGTGAACCGCCTTGAGTCCCGGCCTGGGGAAAACACACACACACACACACACACACACACACAAACGAACAAAATTTAGGGCCACTTGCATAACCAGAGCTTTGGGCAAATGTTCTCTCGCTCTGTAGATGTTCGTGTGCGCAAAGGTAAGCTTTTGGGGACCAGGCTGGTGCATTGCGGGGGGGACGGGGGACGGACTAGATGACTCTGGGATCCCCCAATCTAGGATTCTGTGGTTCTTCAGCTGCGATTCCTGCATTGTAGGGGTTGGACTGGATGGCCGCTGGGGGTCCCTTTCAGTTCTACAGTTCCACGATTTCCCAGAGGCCGGACCTTGCCTAGGCTAGAGCCGACTCCCGCCTCTGGCCTTGACTCCTCTCTTCCTCCTGTCTGCCCCCCGCAGGACTCCCCGCGGCTCAGTGATGGACGACCTCGGCGACTTCTACTCGGAGTACAATGATTCCGACCCGGACCCCTCCGACGCGGGCCCCCTGGTGCTGGAGGAGCCCGGCCTGACCCCCCTCCTGTGGGTGGCGCTGACCATCTACGTGCTGGTCTTCGTGGTGGGCGTGCTGGGCAACGGCGCGGTGGTCTGGGTGGTGGGCTTCCAGATGCGGCGCACCGTCAACACCACCTGGTTCCTCAATCTGGCCGTGGCCGACCTGCTCTGCTGCCTGGCGCTGCCCTTCCTGGCCGCGCCGCTCGCCTCCGACCAGCACTGGGCGCTGGGCGACTTCGCCTGCAAGCTCTTCCCGTCGCTCATCATCCTCAACCTGTTCGCCAGCGTCAACCTGCTGGTCCTCATCAGCATCGACCGCTGCTGCCTGGTGCTGAGGCCCATCTGGTGCCAGAACCACCGCTCGGTGCGCCTGGCCTGGGGCTCTTGCGCCCTGGCCTGGCTGCTGGCGCTGGCGCTCACGGCGCCCACCTTCTTCTCCCGCAGCATCTACACGCATTACAAGAAGAGCCTGTGCATCACCAACTACGCCGCTTTCCCCGGGGGACCCCGCGTGGCCGAGGTCTCCGTGGCTTTCACGCGCTTCGCGCTGGCCTTCGCGCTCCCGCTGGTGGTCATCTGCGCCTGCTACGGGCTGCTCCTGCGCCGGGTGCGCAGCTCCCGCTTCGGGCAGCGCTCGCAGAAGACCCTCAAGGTGGTCCTGGTGGTGGTGGTGGGCTTCTTCGTCTGCTGGGCGCCCTACCACGTGGCCGGCCTCATCCAGGCCTCCCAGCCCAGCGGAACCTGGCTCAGCCGCTCAGTGAGCGAGGCGGACCCCCTGATCGTGGGCTTGGCTTACGTCAACAGCTGCATCAACCCGGTCATCTACGTCCTCGCCGGCCACGACTTCCAGAGCAAGATGCGCCGCTCCGTCAAGGCGCTCCTGCGCAACGTCTTCAGCGAGGAGTCCGCGCTCGGACACTCCTTGGCCGACGGCCACGCGGGGACGCAAGACACGTGCGCCGCCACCACGGAGGACCGCAGCGACCCCAGCGACCGCAGCGCCAGCACCGTCGTGTGAGGAGGGGCCACCACAAAGGAGACCCTGCTGGGGCGCTCTGTCTGCGCAAGGCCCCTCCTCTTACTTGCTTAGCTCGGAGGGGGCCAGCCCCACCGCCACAGTCTCTGCAAGCTCCTCGACCCCTGAGACCATTTGCACCGCCCCCCCTCACTGGGGAACTCCCTGCCCATTGACATCGAGCAGGCTGCTTTTCCCGTGCTCCTTTCTGCAAATAACATTCTGGTCAGACAAGCCAACCCAGAAGCGTAGAGAGTCGAGGTGGATTTTAACCTGTTGGAGTATTTAAACTTTTGTATGTTTTAAAGTACTGTTGTACATTTTTCTCAGTTTTCTTATCTTTTTGTAAGCTGCTTTGAGGCGTTTTTTTTAAAAAAAAACAATCAAGCCGTGCATGCACATTATGAAATAAAATAACTGCAATAGATTTACCAAGCCATCCTCCTCCTTTTTTTGTGCGCTCTCTTTCCACAGTTCAAACCTTGCTCAACTACGTGTGAAGAGACAGACAACATTACAAAAAGAGGGAACCTAAGGAGCCATAATAAGTGATACAGGAAAACCTTTCAAGACAAGAGTGTATGTGTGTTCAGACTGGGTGACTCCAAGGGATGGGAGGCGCAACCCCTTTGATGCCTCCCCAGTTTGCCTAGTGATGCCCAGAGGAAACTTTATTTTGTGGGAATGATGTGGATAGTAGGAGAGGATATATTGATTTAATAGTATGCTTCCTCACTCAGGCTATAGAGTCAGTAGTAGAGTATATTCCCCTGTATATTGCAGGGAGCTAGTTGGTAGATTCGCTTGAATCTCTTTACTTAAGCAATCCAATCTGGCTTGTGCAGATTGGGTTTGTTCCTGGTAAGTCCCCTTTGTTCCCTCTTAAAAAGAACAATGGCACAACAGTCTTCTTTAAAAGTAATGATAAGAGGTTTACTCACATTCAGTTCACAGTTGGTTCCCTGAAGGAAGACTTTAGCTTGTAGTTACAGAAGAGAGTTCATCCCGTATGGGGACTGAGCCCATGTGCTGCTGGCCGAGAGCCAGCAGACAGCTAAATACATCAAGATGGAATAAAGCGAAGAAGAAAGGAAGATGGCTACCTGCCCTGTTATAGGGTCTGCCAGGGTCACATGCAGGGGGAGGATGCTGCAGACCAGGTGGGACAGGAAGTCCTTCTGGCTGGAGTAACACCCCCCGCGCGTTCACTCTGGGCAAACAGGAAGGGTTGTACTTGACTGTTTATGTTACATCCCACAGTTTTCTCTACTGTGTGTCCCTCCCCCCCCCCGTCCCATCTTTTGCCCCCCCCCCCCAGTGCCTGTGTGTGCATCCCTTGCTTACTGACTATCCCTGCAGATATATAATTGGGAGAAATTCACCACAAGACAGACAATGAGCTTTGTTCACGAGGTTCAGGTGAGAGCTCTTCTTATTTATTTGTGTTCATGAGCTCAAGGTGGCCCACATGGTTCCGCCCTCTCCTTGTTTAATCCCCACAACAACCTTGCAAGGAGAAGACATGGACTGGCTCCCAGGTCAGCCAGTAGGAGCTTCATGGCTGAGTTGGTGGGTTTGAACCCTCGACTCTCCCAGATCCCAGTCCCACCCTCTAACCACTGCACCACCGCTGCCTCTCTTTGAGCCTCTTACCCCGGAGTTGGCCAAGCATTCCTGCCTCACTCTTCTTCTCCAGTCCAAGCCAGGATGCCTGGGGTCATGTCAGGTAGCAGGAGGGTCAGAGTGGGGCAGGCAAGATGTCTCTGGGGGCCTCGTGGGGCCCACATCCCCTGAGATGGACCAAGGTTCCCGTGACAAAGGCAGGTTCCTCACACCCCTCGCTCTGCAGAAGAACAGGAAAAGAGCCTGCAAGGTCAGGACTGCGACCCATCTAGTCCAGTGTTTCCCAACCGGTGTTCCGCGGCACACTAGTGTGCCGCGAGACGTTGCCTGGTGTGCCGCGAGATGTTGCCTGGAGGGAGGCGGGCAAGTCGGGCGGCGAGAGGCGGGGCGGCGGCGGCGAGGAGAGGCTGCCCAGCGCGGGGCTCTCGCCGTCTGCCTGCCTGGCTGCCTGCGTGGCGCTGACGTCACGGGGCTGTAACGTGCCCCACATAGGCACACGCGGGGCAGCGAGCGAGCTCCCTCCCACATCCCATCGCCGCTCGCTTCGGCCGGCCTACTGGGCTGTCGCAGGCGGAAGGCCTGCGCATGCGCGAGGTTTTCGCGCCTTCAGGATTCCCTTCACGCCTTCCTCCTCCCGGGTCCTTGAGAGCGCGGGAAGCGGCAGCGCGAGACCGGCGTTGAGCCTGGTAGGTATTGCGCTTGCCAAGGCAGTCATTTGGGAAATGAAAACTTGCAAAGCAAGCAACCAGTTCAATCTGAAGTACGTGTATGCTTAATATCCTGTATCTGAAACCTGTTCTGCCCCCTCCCCCACACTTGGTGCCATTTTCATCTACACATGCAGCAGAGTAAGTTGACCCAGAATAGTACCAATTCAGATGGCAGATGGGAGAATGACAGTGCTGAATGCTTTCCCATGTAGAACAGTCCCTGCAAATAAAAACCTAGCATATTTGGAAGAGGGATGCTAGCCTAACCATTATCTTCTATGCTGTTACTATTTTTTTATTTTTTTTTACATAAGTAAAAAGTGACCTTTCCCCATCTGGCATGGTGGTGTGCCTCGAGATTTTTTTCATGAAACAAGTGTGCCTTTGCCCAAAAAAGGTTGGGAAACACTGATCTAGTCCACCTCCTGGTCTCATAGTGGCTGACCAGAGGCTCCTCGAGGGAAAGCTGCAAGCGGGATCTAACCCCTCCTGTGGTTTCAATGGCAGCTGGGGCTCAGAAGCACTGTTTCCTCTGATCAGAGGTAGACATGGTAATAATAATAATAATAATAATAATAATAATAATAATAATAATAATTTATTTGTACCCTGCCCATCTGACTGGGCTTCCCCAGCCACTCTGGGTGGCTTCCGACAAAGATCAAAACTACATTAAAATGCCAGACATTAAAAAACTTCCCTAAACAGGGCTGCCTTCAGGTGTCTTCTAAAAGTGAGATTATTTCCTTGACATTTGATGGGAAGGCGTTCCACAGGGCAGGCGCCACCACCAAGAAGGCCGTCTGCCTGGTTCCCTGTAACCTCACTTCTCACAGGGAGGGAAGGGGCAGAAGGCCCTCGGAACTGGACCTCAGTGTCTGGATAGAACGATGGGGGTGGAGACGCTCCTTCAGGTCTACTGGGCCATTTAGGGCTTTCAGGGTCAGCACCAACACTCTGAATTGTGCTTGGAAATGTCCTGGGAGCCAATGTAGGTCTTTCAAGACCAGTGTTATGTGGTCTCGGCGGCCGCTCCCAGTCCCCAGTCTGGCTGCCACATTCTGGATTAGTTGTAGTCCTTCCAAGGGAGCACATGGCAGGAGTCCAAGCGAGAGATAACTAGAGCATGTGCCACTCTGATAAGAGAGTCTGCAGGCAGGGAGGGTCTCATCCTGAGTTCCAGATGAAACTAGGAGACAGCTGCCCTGGATAGGGGAGTGCAACTGGTGTGGTGGCTCTGGGTGCCACTCTGGGTGTGTGGTGTCGTATCTGGTGTGGAGAGGTTCATCCGAGAGTCACGTCACCACAGAACATTTCCTCTTTTTCAGAGGCCTGTTTTGATGAGGCAGGAGAATCAATTTTCTTCTTTTGCTGTTTTGGCAGGAAATGGAGGCTTCACTCTATCCACGCACATGAAGTCACCCAAACCGCCTTCCCCAGGGGGAGAAAAGCCCTGATCTCCCCCCACCAGCCCCCCTAGTCCAGATGCCATCATCACCATCACCATCATTTTACTTGTATATTCTGCCTTTCCACAGTTTGAACAAAGCTCAAGGCGGCTTACAATCTGAAAAGATTTACATATTTACAAACATAGCAAAGTACAGTGGTACCTCTGGTTGCGAACAGGATCCGTTCTGGAGGCCCGTTCGCAATATGAAAAGAGCACAACCCGCAGCGGCGCGTCTGCACATGTGCGGGTTGCGATTTGCTGCTTCTGCGCATGCACGTGATGTCATTTTGCGCGTCTGCGCATGGGCGAGCAGCAAAACCCGGAAGTAACCCTTTCCGGTACTTCCGAGTCGCCGTGGGATGTATCCTGAAAGAACGTAACATGAAGCAAACGTAACATGAGGTATGACTGTAGTCATAAAATGAATAAACATATCAAAGACTACATAACCAACCTGAACAATTTTCACATAAAAATAAAGATACAAAAATTAATATCAATAAAAGCAACCCCCCCTGACACAACTCCCCCCCCCAATACCCCAGTCCTGCTGGGCAGCAGCAGCAGCAGTTCTTAGGGAAAGCCTGTCAGCCCCCCCCCCAGGTGGAGAGGTCCAGCCGTCCTCTTCACATGCGAAAAGGGGGCTGCAGGTGCACACCTGAGAAAGGTGAGGGACCTGGGCAACTGGCTCTGGCGTCCCCTTGGTCAGAAAGAGCCAGGGGCCACCCTTTCCTTCGCCACTGCCAAGGCACTGCCGGGGGGAATTTCCTTCCTCCTGGCGGTTTCAGCCCCCGCGAGAACAGGGGAATCCCGACTGGCCACACCTCCCAGCCAGCCAATCGGCTGGCTGGGGGGGCGTGGCTTGCCCTATTTAGGGCCGGAGCCACTTTATTTGCATATTCATGAGCTTATTTATTATTCATGAGCTTTCCCGGGCCCCCCCAATATTTTTTATAAGTCCGCGTCCCTGTTTCCGTGGGAATGTTGCGGATAGTAGGAGAGGATATACTGATTAAAGATTATCTTTCCTCACGCTAGTGAGGGGCACAGCATGTGTGCCGCTCTGGGTGCCGGAGCAGCCAACTCTGTCTCTGGGTCACACAGCCATCTTCCCTTGTTGCCCTTCTTGTTCTTGTTCTTCGTTTTGTTAACGGAGAAATCCGAGGGCTCCCTTGGACAAAAAAACAAGGACACCAGCCAGGAATACCAGAGCAAAACAGCAGCCAGTAGGCTTGGTCTTGACTGAAGACTGTCGCGACAGGACTCCCACCTGCCACCAGGTGGAACAAGATGGAAGCCCAGAACAAAAGAAGACCCCAACTTTTATTAGC